GTGGTAACTAATGACTCACCAGTATTAATAAGCAAGATGCAGAGCAGAGATAGCCTGGCATGTAAACGAGGCCTCCATTAGAATTTTCCTTGAAGTGGGGACAGTGGCCAGGATAACATTAAAAAGTTGGGACAAGTTAGATTGCAAACTAAACACAGCTAGTGCCACCTGGAGGTCAGTTTACAAACTGCAATGACAGAACCATACACCTGGGGTAACCCTTTATTTTATACCTCCCCCTTACACTAGAGGTTAAAGTTTGGCTCCCAAGTCCATCATACTCCAGACATAAAAAGTCAAAATCCAGAAAGCAGAACTACTCACTTCTACCAGATGGTTGTCTGGCCCATACAAGTCTTTGTCCAATTCGATCACTAAGGACTTAAAAAAGGAAGAAAATTTCCTCTTTTGTTTTGTGGCATCATATTTGGACAAGGCTGACTAGAAGAAAAAGAAACGGTAATGTTAGAAAAGGCTAGAATAAATTTCCCACAACAATGTTTTTTAAAAAGAGTCCACAACAGCAATGGGGGAAAAAAAAAAACAACTAAAAAATGCCTTCTGAATATCTCTTAAGAGATGGCAAAGAATCTGTGGGTATTAAACAAGTCCTGGTAGCAACAGAACCCTGAAGAAGCAGCCTATTACATGGACAGGATCATTGACTTACCCACCTCATTTCCCTTTGGGCAATGAGGCAAGTTAAGCCAAACTTCTGCACATAACAAAGCAAGTTTGAATAGAAAATAGTCTGACTGTAGAGAGGAAATGAATCACAGGGAATAAGCAACCAGAACAAAAACAGCTTTATTTGGACAGAACAACACAATCAGCAGATGGACTGGACCTATATAGAAGAGAAGACTCTACAACACTGAACCCTGGTTCTCCTGCAAAAATGCATTCAAATTAGCTTGCCTGCAAGCAGCTAAAAATAGAGAGCCAGAGAGTGTAAGGAATGAGAGAAAGGTGAGTTTCCCCAAAGAGCTGCTGGTGTGGGAAGTTTGGAGGCTATCACCTGTCAGCTGATGTTCCCTGTGAAGCCACAAAAAGCCTGCTGGAGGAATCTATTACACTTAAACCAAGGGTATCTCCAGTGAAGATGGAGATACCACAATGGGAATCAAGGACCATAAGGATTCCAAGAGGAAACATGGCCTCAAATGCTAAGCACAAACTCACTTGATTTAAAAAAACAAAAACAAAAACAAACTAATCTTAAAATATTGTTAAATTCAAAGACCAGCAGCACCAGGAGAAAGGTACACAACAAATCAGATCTCAGGACAATATGATACCAGTGAGGGTCAATGCTGTGGAAGCAGATACAAAGGACTACTATCTTTCTGTACAGGGAAAAGTCTCCCTCTCTCTGATGCTCCCAGCAGGAGCTATGAGCACCAGTTAGGCTTCGTGCTGATTGGACAACACTGCTCATTCCCAGCATCTCCCACCCTGGATGCCGACCACAGTGGACCTTTAACTCACATCCTCCAGGAGCCGTCCTTCTACCCGAAGCTCCCAGGAAGCCACCGTCCCTTCCCCATCCTCGGCATCTGACTTAGCCGGATTGAAAGTGTTAGAAATGAAAATTCGCAGCTTCCGTTTTTGCTGAGGAAGGCAGAAACAGGATTGATGGTGGGGCTTCAGTGGTTTGATGTTGAAGACAAGGGTCTCCCCAAACCCCAAAATTAATCCTAACAGACTGGCTTACTGTCTACCCAGTCCCTCCAGTCGGTAGATGAAGATTCCATTTAGAAGAGGAGCACAAGCCACTGATCTAAGTACAAGTGCATACACCATGATGCCAGGTGGAGAGTCATGCAAGTTGCCAGGTTCCCAAGGTAGCAGAGCCATTACAGCAAAAACATGGACGGGGTATATTTCTAATGCAAGAGACATCAAAAGCCCCTCCCCCTTGGCTGTTCTTATGTTCCTAAATGCTCCTAATGAAATTCTTGGTTTGTAGGCGGAAGGGAAAGATGCAATTTAAATGCCAAGGAGAGCTGTGCTGTGCCTTTGATTTCTCATCTTAAGCCTGGTGAAGGTTCCCAAGTCCTCTCCTTTGGCTCTCTGCCTAATGCTGTCCTGTGTTACCTTGATGGGACGTTTCAAGGCCTCCTGGATATCTAGCCGTTTCCTCATGATAGTCTGGTCCAGTTTCCTTTCAAAAGCCAAAAGATCCATATAGGCCTGGGATTCTGGTACCAGTTCACGAATCTTAGAAACAGAAAAGATATAATTGGGATCTAGAGCTGACCATCTCTATTCTCAGACTCACCACATCTTCAGGAAAATCTACAGCTTGGACTCACCCTTTGAGGTAGAATTTTGTCAGCCATCTTCTTTTTCTTTGCACTGTTTGGAATAAATACTGTTATCAGGTTGGAATAGAACTAGTCAGAACATGAAGATAAGCTGTCAGCACTTCCATTTATAATAAAGTAAGGGCCTGCAGTCTCAAATCAAAGAAAACYCTCTCCCCCGACACCATCAACTCCATCACCACCACAACCATGAGGCATTCTCAAGGATGAGCCCCCATAACAACATCTGCTGACTCGGCACCACCACTTCTTGATTTACCACTTCTACTCTCATAGATTCCCTTCCCCCCTCCCCAAGTCATCTTACTTGTGGTTTCGATTTTGGACCGCCTGCTGTTGGACCTGCTGGATCTGTTGAGGTGCAGGTCTCTTGCGGGACTGGTCCATCCCTGACTGGGCCAGGCCAGGTCGGACAGAAGGGTTTCCCCCATAGCCAGGAGGTCCCATGGAAGGTCCCTGAGGTGTCATTCGGCTGCCTGGCAGCATACCTGGTCTCTATAAAATAGAGAGAGAACCCAAAGATGTAATGGCTTCCCTAGCTAACCCCATAAAAAAAAGTGGGGGACATCTGAGTTCTTTGAATGAAACAAGATAGGGAGGTTCCAGGTCAATGAGAGAAGAGTTCTCTGCCTCTTTGGAATATAGATATCTGGAGCTTCTTCTGTTCTAGTAGTAATTTCATAGAAAAACAGGACCCAAAAGCTAACATATCATATGATTATATTCAAATTATCCCCAGGTTATATTGGATCTGACTCTTCCCACATCTCCTCTAATTCCATATTTTCTCTGCTATCTCCTTAGGTGCTGACCTCAATTTGCAGCTAAACCTTGGGTTTTCCTGTGAGCACTGGAACTGCTCAAGCCCCCTTGCACTCCATAACCATGCCAAGTGCCACTTAACCCACCCTGGTTCTACACCGACTCCTCAAGGAAACAATGCCTCTGGGAGCAGGTGGGGATGCTAAACGCCTCTCCCTAACCCCCACCCGGGGCACAGAACCCCTCCCAAGGGAGTCCCTCCTACTTCTCCCCCACCCTTGTCACTCTCTGGGCCCCGCCCCCGGCCTGTGCGCCCCTCCTCCTGCCTCACTCACCGGATAGGCCGCTCCGGGCATCGGGGAGCGGTACAGCCCTTGACCCGGCGCCGGGCCCATTCGCACGGGAGGCCCCGGAGTTCCGCCCGGGCCCAGAGCAGCCGCCGCACCCGCCCCTCCGGAGGCTCCGGCACCGCCGCTCGGAGCCACAGACTGGAAACCCGCCCGGGCCGCCATCTTCCCGGAGCCGCCGCTGCAGCTGCACAAAGAACCGGAACCGGAACTCCCCCTGCCCCCCGCGCGCCCCCCAAGTGCCTGCCTGTTTGTGCGCCCGGCTGACCGGCGGGCATGGGAAGCTTGGGACAGCGAGACTGTAGGCTAGAGGGGGCGACTAGCGGAAAAGGCGTGCTGACCACTCCCTCCCGCCTTCAGGGTCCGGGAGGGAAAACCATAGAGAAGAACTGTAGGACAGAGAGGCGGCGCGAGCGGGCGCCACCAGGCCGACGGGAGGAAGCCTAGGCTCTGGGAAGGGACCACAGTCTCCGCCCCAGCCCCAACCCTGATTCCAGCCCTCTGAGTTTAGAGTAATCACATCATCTTGGCGCAGTACATTAAACTTTTCAAGGCGCGTTAATTATTTTTCGTTTCATTCTCGAACTTCTTTAACCCTGGGTGTGTGAGGAGCGGGGCACACTGTTTATTCCGTTTTACTAACGGGAAAGCTAAACTCAAAGGAGATAAGTGGCTTGGCAAAGACGTACCAGATAAATTGGCACTGACGGCAAATCCTAAATTACAAGTCTTCTGGTTCATAGCGCGGGACTTATTCCTCAGTAACTACCTCAGGTGGAAACTTCAACCTAAACCTTTAACCTAACCTGCTTCCAGATTTTAAGTTCCAGCTTATCTTGAATTTTGGCCCTGCCCTCTCTCCAAAGAATCCTTTGTATTGGGACTTCTGTTTTGGAAATTAATTGCCTTTGGTTCTCTCCCTTTTTCCCTGCTTAGTGATTTAAACCATTCCTGGTGTGATGATTAGCCTGTCTCCCTATTCAAAACTCCTTACTCCTCCCCTGATTGTGTGACCACATGCCAAGTTCAGGTCTAGACACTTAACGGGAATACCTAAATTCTTTCAACAAAAAGAACAACACTGAAGAGGACATGGTTGAAACCCAGTTTATTAGACCAGAGGCATGCGTCACCCAGCCCTGCCTGCTGTTCCCCTATCCAGTGTACACTTCTTGGCCTTGCTACTGCTTCCCTCGGGGCAGGTCAAATCTCTAAGAAACACTCCAGCTCCAGGCCAATGCATAGGTGACCTGCACACAGATCTTGTTCTGGGATTGGAGAACAAGAGACAACTGGGCAGAGAAGGCCTGGAAATGGGTTGGTGCTCTGGCCTAGAAGGAATGCCTGGTTGAGGGGGTAGGGGCAGGCCCTTTACCTCACTTGTCTCTCATTAAGGTAGGGAGGGACAGAAGAGCAAAGCTTTCAAATTCTCTTCTAGGCCTGCCTCTTTCCTCCCACTACCAAACCCTGCCTCATCAGAAAATGTAGGTGATTGGCTTGGGCATAAGGTGAGGGAACAGGACTGGGTCACTGACCAAGGACCTCAGCTTCTACCTGTGGACATCCACTGCCCCAGCTGTGGGAGTCACCAATCCCCACCTCCCTCTGTGTCTGACACTGTTGGCTTAATATCCAGCCCAGCTCTCCATTCCCTGGGTGGAGGCTACCTCTGTAGCAACCTCTTGCCTGGGGAGGCCACAGTCAGTCAAGCAAAGGGCATTGGGATAGGTGGAGCAGGGGAAGGGAATGTTAAGGCTACAGGGAGGGCAGAGGGTGCCCAGGTTGGGGGGAAAGGGTGAGGCCAGAACGAGGCAGAGCTTGTGATTCACAGCTTCCTTTATGTCGCCACCGAGACAGTGCGAAGGTTACAATGCGCGTGTCGTCTCCTTGTGCTTCTCAGAGGGATGTGTGTACACAGTACAGACACCAGGGGAGAGAGTCCAACTCTTTATACAGGCGAAGGCATTCAAAGACTGGGGAGGGGGGGATAAACACAGAAGGGGGAACTTTGGGTAGGAGGATGGATCTCAGAGACAAGAGGGAATGGGTGAAGACAGACAGGGTTAGAGGAAAGTATATACAGAGATATAGCAATATAGAGTCTGTATCATATAGAAATAGAAAATGCAGATGAGGTTGTTGAAAGAAGCAAATGAAGCTGGGGCAGAGGACTTGGGAGAGTTCCATAAGAAAATTTATGGATGTGGCCCTCTGCAAGGGCCTCTGGGAGAGGGACCAGTGAGGTCAGGCACCAGTGCCCCTCTCCCTGAGCTGGAAGCTAACCAGCCAGGTCTTCTATGGGATGTAGAGGAAGGCTACCTCTTGGGATTTCTCTCCAGCAGCTTTGGGGTGGGGTTGAACTTGTAAGTATCAGGATGTGGCCTACAGCACCAGGGCCACATTTTGTCCCCATCTCCACTTCTTTAGGGGAATCCCCCACCTGCTAGAGATTCCATATTATGTGAGGGAGTGAGGCTGGGGTTCTAGTTCCTGCCTGGAAACTTGGGTTTCGGGGGAATAACTGGGCTGAGAGGGTCTCGTAAGGCTGGGGAAGCCCTCCCACTAGCCCTTCCCCTTAAGGTACATTCTCTGATTTGGGGCCAAATTCCAGACCCCAAGGATCCCCTCCACCCCTCAATAGGAGGGGGCTTTGGTGACTGGAGGCAGCAGAATGTAGGCAGACACTCAGATGACAGACAGCCAGACAGACAAGAATTTAGGCTGGGAGCTAGGGGAGGCAGCATGGAGCAGAGAGGGGGCAGCCCAAGGTCCTTTGCCCCTTTCTCTCAGGTTTTTAGATTAGTTTAATTTTGTTAAAATAAAAAGAATGGGATAAGAGGCAGGGAGAGGACGCTATAGTCAAAACCCTTCCTCATCAGAGACAAGAGGAAAGGACTGCCCCAGAAGTGTGGGTGAGTCTCCAGGACAGATGCGGGGGCAGCTAGGGGGCCCCTTGCTCTCCTAGCCCTCCCCGCCTAGGCGTTTGGTAGAGTGGCCTGCGCTCAGCAGGTAAAGTCCTCAAACGTGCCTCGGGCCGGATGGTGAGGTAGGATGTTGGCAGCGTAAGTCATCCCAGCAGGGTGGCCCCGGAGGCTCTCGCACGGGTTCTAGGGAAAGGGGCAAAACAGGAAGTGGTTACGGGAAGGGCCATAAGTTGCTACAGGTGCTGTGGAGGCAAAGGAGGGGTGATGGCTCTGGGCTGTGGGGGAAGGGAAGGCCTGGAGGGCGCCTCCTTGCTGGCTCCTCACATGTCTTTTGACGTCATCCAGGCTGAGGGCCACGCCCTTGTCTGCACTGCTCCTCTTGGCCTCCTTCTGGCACTTCCCTCTTCGGCACAATTTGTGCTTTATAACCTACGAGGGGTGGGGTGGGGTGGGCGGGCTGAAACACCGCCTCTCGCCTGGCTCCCACCCTACCCCGCCCCCTTACCTCATAGGCGTAGTCAAAGAGCTCCAGCACCGTGAGGATGCTGGCCCCGATGAACAGCCCCATCTGACCCCCGATGTCACCTGCAGGGTGGGGTGGTGGAGTAGGAGGGGAGTAGAAGCCGGGTTAGAGAGTCAGGACTTGGTGAGGGCAGTAAGGCTTGGAGTGGGGCAGGCCAGCCATATTCTCAAAGGGAGTGGCAGCCTTCATACAGAAGGATCACAAAGCCATATTCTGGCAGGATTTTTATTTTCTTCTCCATGCTTTTCTGTCTTTTCCTACTTTTCTAATATAAACAGGTATTATTCGGGAAAAAGAATTGTTTACAAAAACACACCAACACCCTTAGTGTCTGGATCAATTTCAGAGGCATGTGAAATAGTTTGCACCTCCACCCCTGCCCCTCCCTTATACCCACGGGCTTGTCTTTTCCACTTTGCCCTAAGAGAAGGCTCAACTACCTTCCCCCACTACATACCAAGACAACAGGGTTTGGGGGAAAGCACCTGAGGATGGGACGAGTGAGCACCCTGCTTTGAGTAGTAGGGAGCCACGCCATGCCTGTGGTATGGGAAGGGGACAGGTATCATGAGCAGCTCACCCAGGAGCCCTGCAATCTCATAGGCCTTCTTCTGCTCAATGGTCTCATAGTTGAGGACTTCAAAGAAAATGTCCAACACGAGGATGTTCTCCCTGCATAAAGATTGGGGGAGAAGACCTAAGTCATATCTCTGCCCTTTACTAGCTAGGAAACCTTACAAGTTACCCTCTCCAAACCTGTTTCCATGTCCATAAGATGAGATGCTGATGGAGATACCTGCCTTTTGTAATTATTATGAGGATTAAATTAAATGGCATATAAGAAAAGATGCTCTATGTACTGGCAAGTGTGATATGATCTTAGTTACAGAAATGAGGATGAATACAGAGGATAAAACAAGGAGGGAGGAAAAAGGGGTGTTTCCATTGCTTATTCTGGCTTGATCTTCCCTCCATCTCCACTCCACACTCTCACTCTCATACTCTGATAACTCTTGGACCGTCCTCAGATTATCTTAGCTCTTTCTTGCCTGCTGGTCCCCCATCAAAGCCCATTCTTACCTTCCACAGTCCCTGCCCAAGAGCCTTTCCCTGTACAGTAGATCCCTTACCCTATGTACTGTTCAGACTTGTTGAACTTCTTGGCCAGGTACTTGGCTGAGGCTTTGCTGGGGATCTTAACCATGGACAGCTCCTTGCCATATCGGGTCAAGTTGCAGGGCATTTCACATACGCAGTACTCCTGGTCCTTCTCCACCAGGAAGTCTGTACCCAGCCAGGTGAGAGGCATTGATTGAGTTTCCCAGCATGAACATCCTGGTCCTGCCCAAAGGAACCCTGCCACCCACCCCCCTTTTCCTGATCTGCTCTTCACCTTGGTCTTGTGACTGCTCTGTGCTGATCCTCACCCAGCCTTCGCATGAGTATATTTCTAAATCCTATAGGTCATTCCATGAGGGCCCTTTAGGGTCAACCAGCTGAAGTGCTGATGAAAGAATGTAAAGGCCCCTCCCAGGTGATCTCCATTTATTTTTCATAGGGGTTTCTGAAGATACTATTCTTAGCTTTAAAATCAGATACATGTAAGGGTGCAACGTGGTGCAGTAGTTACTGGAAGCTTCTGGAGTTTGGTCTGAAAACCCTGTGCATATGGCTGGTAGCACCTCCTTCCCTTTCTGTGACTACCCCAGGGTAGGGGCACTCACCCAGGGCAGGATCTGCACACTCCTTATACTGCTCTGGAGTGCAGTATGGTGCATCCCCTACAGAGAAGAGAAGACAGTGGGCAGGATGGAGATTAGGGGGCATGAGATGGTAGTGGCATATAAGGTGGAAGATGGATAGGTTGGGACAGTAGGATTAGCCAGTCCCCAGTGTGACCTGGAAATGACCCTCCATGATAGTCCATCCTTCCTAGACCCTTTCACCCACTTTTTTTGGAAAAGGCTGGAACTGAGATTGGAGAGATAAGAGCTAGAGGGTAAAGAATGCAGTAGGCTAGAGAGATTGATATAGATGGGGAGCAGGTGAGGGGCAAGCCCCCAGGATTGTGCTTGAAGACTTGGTGCCTGACCTGGCATGTGTACCATGCGGCAGTTGCAGTTTTCCACCAGATAACGTGTCTCACAGTCAATGCGGCAGGCAGTGATGCTGTAGGAGTCGAAGAAATCCGAGTCCATGGTAACAGCTTTGCAGGTGCCCCAGGGTGGGGGCAGGTAGATGAGCTGCTGGGAGAGCCGGGGAGCTGGGGGAATGTGATGACTTCTCCCTGAGTCACCTTGTACTTCTTTGACAAGATGCAGAACTCAGGAGTTCTGCCCCTCTCCCTCCGCAGCCCATGAAGTTTTGCAGTTTGTAGAATATACCCATTCATTAGATCATTCATGTTTCTAACTAGCCCAATTACCATAAAGGTCCTGCCTCACCTGTTCCTCCCATTATTGACCACCCACCACTCCATCTTGACCCCTCAACACCCCACCCTAGGACCAGCCTTCAATGGCCCTCTCACCCGCTGCTCCTGGCAGGCCACAAAGGTCTGGAAGCCTGGGGCCACACCAAAGCCCAGCTGGTCGATGAAAGGAGGTTCATCCTGACTGTGTATCTGTACTTTGATTCCCGCTTCAAAGGACGTCTCGTCTATGGGAATGAGGGGTATGTGAGTTGAGAGGGCTTCTGAGTTCCTATCCCCTTCAGAGCTGAGGACATCCTGCCTCTCCTGGGAATAAGCACAGTGTCTGTTTGGTAGGTAGGCTCTCTATGGGGTCCTAGGCCACCCCTAGCTGCTTTCTGGGTTTACCAGCTCCATGCTGTTGCAATGACCCCCGCCTCCTACATGCTTCTTTTCTTACCTGGTGTTTGCTATACATCTTGGTGTTTCACATTCTTTTTCCTAAAGTGTCACTGTTTCAGATACTCTTCATTTCTCCTCCTCCCTTTTTTCCCTTCTCCCCATCTCTCTTTGCCCCACGGCCCCCTGAGACCAGACAAGCAGGCAGCCCAAGAAGAGAGGGAGTTATTTATAGAGTGAGTGGCGGCCGCTGATGGAAGAGGATGGCTGGTTACCTTGGAGAGTAACTGAGCCAGGAAGGGGGAGCGAGGGAAATGTGAGTGTGGGATGTCAGGTAAAGTCAGAGATACAGATGGTGAGATCCTTGGAGGAAGGGGAAGGAGCCTGTGCCCTGAGCCCTAGTGGAGGCTGGGGCCAGGAAGTATGGGGAGTATGAGGGGTGCAACATACCAGTCTCTCCCCATACAGGTAAGTACTCGTCCTGCTGGATGTCCAGCATGATCTCCAGCCCATTGCCTGTCCCACCCTTCATGGTCTTCAGCCGGGGCCGCCCATCTCTACCCGAGTTGAATGTGTAGCACTTTCCATACCGTGTGAAGACCTGGTGGGGGGAGAATAGAGAATCTGAGAGTCCTGCCAGTACCTACTACCAACTGAGGAGTGTCCCCAAACAACCCCCATCCCAGCTGGAATCCCAACACCCTCCAGGAACAGTTCCTCCTATGTAGCCCATTCTCCATTTGTCCCCTTCTGCCATCTATTCTCCACCCTTCTTTTCCCTGCTATGTGCAGTGGGAAGCTAACCTTTGTGGGGTACATGGCCTGAGCTCCTTTACCACCTGAATGGGCTTCAGTTAGGCTTGGTCAATGAGAACCACAAGTAAGGGATAAGAAGAAGGCAGGAGGAGAGAGGACTGGGGTACTGATCTTTCCCCATCCCTCACCCCTCTGTAATGCTTCCAGTGGCTTAGACCTTCCGCGACTATAAATCCTGCAAGGAAGGATGGAACTATTTCCTTTTATGGCCCTTTAGCCTAGAAGTGATAACAACTTCCCACTATTGCTAGCTGCCTCAGCCCTCTTATTGGTTTTCTTTCTTTCTTTTCCTCTGTGTATGTTTGTGCATGTGGGTGTGTGTGTGGTGCTGGGGATTGAACCCAGGGCTTTGTGCATGAAAGGCAAGCACTCTACCAACTGAGCTATATCCCCAACCCTTATTGGTTTTCTTAATCCTTCCCACAGCTCCATAAACAGTCTCTTTATTAAAGTCTTTTCAATGTGTAGTACTTGAACTATCAAGTGGCAATTTTTTTTTTCTGATTAGGATTCTGCCATGTGCACCTCCATCACCAGGATCTTCTCATTGCCAGATCCTTGGGGCTTCTGAGATAGATCTTCTTTTCTTCTGGATTTCACCCCAGACATTAGAAATCCTGTTCTCCCCCAAGACCTGCCCCCAAACCCAAGACCCCCAAACCAAAGCTTTTCTGTTTCCTCTAGCCATCAGCCCCCTATGTCCATCACTGTCCTATTTATTATCATTAGAACCTGAAAGCCCCAGTTACCATGCTAAGGACCATGGTCACCCAGCACTCAGGACTAAGCCCCAAGGCATGGCATATTGGCAATGCTCTTATAGAGCTATGAGGGCCTTAGAAGAAATCTCAGCCCTGGGAGCTCCTGACTCCTCATCCCCTTACAACCTTTTTCATACCTCTGATTACACAGATGTGGAAAGTAGAGTGGCCTCCCTGAATGTTACCATAAATTGGATGGGTGTTCTTTTACTACTGCTGGATGGTGACAAAGTCCACAAAGTGAGTCACAAAGATTCAGAGAAGGCCCGAGAAGGGGGAGACAAGAGTGTCAGGCCAGATTCCAGCAGCAGGTCTAGTGGGGGTCACTAGAAAATAGTCTTTGCCCCTTCCTCATATAGCCTCTGTCACCTCTTCCAGAAGAGAGAACATGTTGCTCTCCCCCATTTTGTGGGTGAGATCTAATGATAAAGCACAGAGAGAATTATGAGGGCTCCTCATTCCCCAAATCTGCCACCAGCTCTTGTGACACGAAGCTACAAGCTCTTAGCTGGACACACATGCACATACCTTGATTGAGGTCACTTGGGAGCCCCAACCTTGCCTGGCTGAGAGGGCAGGGTTACAGAGCAATGGATTCCTGCTGCCACCTAGTGGTTTTGGTTAAGAAGTGACTGCTCTACCTCTGGGCTCCCAGGAGAGAGGTTGACTCTTTTCTTGTCCCAGTCCTGTATCTCCTGGACTTCCTGAGGTCAAGTGGCCAAAACATCAAGGTCCCTATGTGTGTTCAGTCATTACATAGTATGAGATGGCACCCACCTGCTCTTACACTAGGGAGGAGGTGGGGAATCAGGGATAAGGGTGTGGGGAGGAAAAGCCAGGTATCTTATCTGTAACCTGGAGAAGCCAGAGAAGAGTTCAGTCAGAAAGAACTGGAAGATGGCTGGAGAGTCAGAGGGCAGAAATGGCAGTGTGGCAGGTGGTCCCTCATCAGGGAAGGCCCCAGACTTCTGGGTGGGAGGTCCAAGGGGGAAGCTAACTCTCAGTGAGGGCTTCTTCTGGGAAGAAGGTCCCTGCCACTTAGAACTGAGAGGAAGGGGTTTAATTTAGAGATGACCTGTTATTATCTCTCTCTCTCCCTCTCTCTCTCTCTCTCTCTCTCTCTCTCTCTCTCTCTCTCTCAGACACACACACACACACATACACACACACACACACACACACACACACACACACACAGTGGGTGGAGGATGGGCTTCCATAGAAGCATAGAAGACCAAGTGAGGATGCAATTAAGGAGGAAGATGCTGACAAGTGGTTCAGCGGGTGGAGATGGGGGCTGCCTCCACCCCTCTACCAACTCCTTACCACCCACTTCTGCACCTCCAGAGGTCAGGTGGCTCCTTCCCCAGCATAAGCCCAGGGGTGATAATCAAAATAGCTAGATATAGCCACCCACCAACAGATCAAATGTTGTCCTCACAGAGCAAGGTCTGGGCACTGCTAGACCCTAAAGGGATCTGGGGAAGGGCAAGTGAGGCTGGAGGATATTCAGGAAAATATCAGGGGCCTCAGGGCACCAGTTAATTACTGACAAGGACAGATATATTTCAAGATTCTAACAGGAAGAGCAGTACTGGTGTGGACCTGGGAATATTTCCAGTTCCAGACCCTGGACTCCCAAGTGAGCTCTGGCCAGATGGGAGCACTGCACAGATACCAGCCTCAGCCCCAGGAGGTGACAGTCAAGGAGAGCCATAGCAGACAATCTCAGGGTGTTATGCTAGGCATGGACCCCCACTCACCACGGAGAAGTTGTGAGGGCCACAGGGCCCCCCGCGGTAGGAGCAATAGAGCAGCATGTCCTCCAGCCGGTGGCAGGAGCGATTGTAGAAACGGTGAAGATTAAAGGGCTCCCCAGAAAAAGCCTCTGGCCCAGGTGGAGCAAGGGGCACCCCAGGATCATCACTTTCATCCAGCCCCAGCATGGGGGCCAGGTAGAGCAAGTCAGGATAGCTGAGCTGGGACAGCCGCACAGCATTGGTGTTGCAGAGGGTGACGGCTGGGAAGGCCAGCTCCGTGGTGGCCACTTCGTCTAGCAGAGTCACATGAGGGTAGCTGAGGTAATAAGCAACACGGTCCCCTACCTGGCACAGGAAGGCACCCAATGCCAGGACAAAGGCCACAGCCCACAAAGCCTGCCTTGGTCCTGGACCTCCTTCCACAAAGACATGACTGGCACCATGGAGGGTGCAGCTATTGGCAAAGGCCACCAAATCCACGGGTGAATCCCCCTTGATGGCTTCCTTCCTTGATGCATCCTTTTCCTTCTCTTCCTCCTCTTCGGATTCTGAGCTGTTCCGCTGTTGCTGGTGGTGATGATGGGGACCCCAGACATCTCCCAAGGACCCTGGGACTTCCTCTCCAGAGGAGAATGACACAGAGCAGAAGATCTGGATTGGCATCTTCTCCAGGGACTTTCTGACACCAGAGGATTGGCAGAAGGAAAGAGGGAGGTGCCAGAGGAAAGGAGATATGACCCCAGGCAGGGTCCGTAGGGGCCAGCCACTTAGTCCTTCAGCTTGTTCTGCACTGCCTGGCTGGCTGTCCTTTCTCACTGGGGCCTCTGTGGCAGTGTAGCTAAGCTGGGCGGGGCATGGAGAGGAGGACCAGCTTGCCCAACCAGGGAGGGCTAATGAATAATTGATGGCAGTGAGAAAGGAAGGCTGATAGACAGGAGGGGAGCGCCAGCCCCTTTCCTGTCACTGGCTCCAGCAGGACCTAGAGGGTTAAGACAGAGTGGAAACCCTGGAAAAGCCTAGGGCTGGAGCTCTTGATATCCCCTCCCCAGGTGAGGTGGGACCCAGCACAGTCCTTTGTTCCCACTGCAGGATGATCTCAGCTGGTAACAGTCCCCACCCTTCCCCAGGACACACAGGCATGCTCTCTCACCCTCCAGTCTATTCCCCAGCATGTCTCTCACTTTCCCCATTCCAATTCCAGCTCTCTCCCTTATTGTCCCAAGTCCAGTTACTCCTCTGGAATATCCAAGCTTCTCATGCTCTGTAGATATTCTCTCAGGCTTCTACTTCCTCTCTAATTCCCTTTGACCCATAATTTCCCCCCATTTCATTGATCCCCTATTCTCTCAATCTACCCTTAAACCCCAGTTCCTCTCTAATCAATCCTTTGATCCTCAGTTACCTTCCAATCACTGTCCTGATCCCAGTTTACTTATTCCCAAGCCCCCAATTTCCCTGTAATCACCCCCTTAACCCCAAATTCCCTCCAGCTAGTACTGGACCCCCTTTATCCCTTGACCTCCAGCTTTACTTCAGGCCAGCACCCCTCCCCCATGCTGAATTGCACTTAGGTCCCTTTCCTTCTCCTACCCCATTTGTGGATTGTGGGGCTAACTCAGGTTCCATTAGCAGAAGTCTCTCCCTGACCACAGACTCATTTGTGGCCACTTCCCGGCACTGGAGGAAGGTTTCCTCTCTCTTGCAGCTGAAAAGCTTGCTGGCAGATCATCACTATATTCCCAGCTTGCCCACCCCAAAACAATACAGAAGAGGGGTTCCAGGAGTTCTCCAGTGCATGGAAAAAATTGAGGTAAATGCAGAGATAGAAGGTCTTGGGTCAGGTAGGGAGTTTTGGGAAACAACCTACAAACCCTCAGCCTTGCAGATTCCCAATCCCTCTATCTCTGAGGTGCCCTATTCCCCCAATCCGCTGGCCCCTCTGTGCTCTGATTACCCAGGGCCACTGGTTGAGGAACTTGAGCCTCAGGCCTAGTCTCCAGGGCCAAGAAGGTGACCTGAGGGAAGGGGAGGGAGGGAGGGAGGGAGGGAGGGAGGGAG